GTAGTCGTGTCATTTGCCAATAGCGTCTTAAATTGTGTTTACTTTTAATTAGTTTTATGATTTTAATGGGATTTGTTGCTTGTATATTGGGTTTGTTATTTTGAGATATGTGGTAGAATTTGGAAGGGATCCTTGTATGTTGCTGACTAATCGTTTTATTGATTATGTAAGTCTTTTTCAGATTGAATGTTTTGCGGATGTTTGTAGTTAAGTTTTAAAATTTCCCTGATTTAAACCAGTTAATTTTACCTTTTTGCTGTTTATAATAAGATGATAGATAGAGAGGATGAAATGATATGATTATTGGATTGTATCCGAGTCGAGTTCAGGAATTACTTTTTGGTATAGCGGAAAATTAATATTTTTTGTGATGAGGATATCTAATATGTCAGGAATTATATTATTGTTGTAAGGGTAATGGGTGGGTTCTATTGGGGCCATAATACTTAATTGAGAGTGGTAGCTATATTTAGTAAATTTTGCCCTTGAGAGTTGTTTGTGTTGCATCCCCAACCGCAGTGTTTGCTATTTAGGTCACCTATTAGCATGATATTATCGTTATTTCCAAAAATTTCAGTATATATTTTTCTAGGGAATAGCTTATTTGGAGGTTTATACGCCGATATAATGGTTGTGTCTTTGTTATTTATTTTGGTTTTCATTGCTATGGTTTCTCGGTCGTTGCTCGTAGGACTATTAATTAACGTATGTTTTATATCTTTGTGTACTAGTATGGCCACTCCTCCTGCGGCCGTCGCTGAGAGACGGTCGTTGCGATAGATATTAAAACCTGGTATTGAGAACTTGATTTGAGGTAACAGGTGAGTTTCTGAAATACAAGCTATTTTTTATGTTGTTGGCTTGTTATAAAGTGTCGTAATTGACTTTCTTGCCTTTTTATTCCGTTCGCGTTCCAGTTGAGAATGTTTTTCTGGATTTTTATTTACGTCCATTATCGAGGGCTGATTGTATTAATATTTGTATTTGTGGAATGAGTGCGTTTATTACTTGGTTGATGATTGTAGTTATTACCTGTCCTTGGTGTAGAGGGAGATTAGAGTTCGATAACGGGGGACTTGGCTATTAAGTCTTTGAGGATTTGAAAACCAGGGATTTATGGAGGTCGTTGCTTGGGTTGTTTGTTGGATGATTTTGAGGGACTTGTTTTCGGTCAAGGTTTTTAATCTTGTGGGATTCTCTGTTATTAAAAGCCTGTCGTCTCTGATTATACCGCTGTTTTTGATTTTTAGCAGTTTCTGGTAAACTTCACAACCTTTCCAATTGGCTGTGTGATCTTTTTTACAATTAACGCATTTCCGACTTGTTTCTGTTTTGGTTCCGTGCATATTTGAATAATGTGGTTACCTAAGCACCTAACGCATCTCGGAGCGCGCCCACAGTTAGCTTGAGTGTGATCAAAGGATGCACGTTAAAGCGAGACTGTCGCTCGCAACCGCCGCCACGCACCGTACGCGCGCGATGCAATCCGTGCCATTCAAACACGGTACATTGATTTGTTGGACGTTTCTTTCTTTTACATGTTTGCGATTGAATTTATTACGCATATTTTAATACACGTAATCGCCAGTTTTCGGAATGTTTTTGATGCAATTCAGTTAATGAAAATGGATAAAATTAATTGAAACGTGTTTTTTCTCAGCTTTATTCAAACGGTATATAGTATATAGCATTTTTATTCGTACAAGAATGGCGAGAGAACAATTAAATAAAAAACGGTGGATTTTTTTAATGAAATTTATTTTATTTTCTAAAGAATTTTAGATACCACTGGATCTAAATGTAACTAGTGGTGCAACCGAGTGCCGCAGAATTTCTCGTAGTACAGAGCAACTCTGCCCCATGCAGCTATCAGCTGGTCAGGGTTTCATCCAATTGGGAGCTTGAACGCCCCATAGTGACATCACAATGGTGACGTTTAAGCTCCCGATTGAATGAAACTGTAAACAGTTGATACCTGCCAGGGGCAGAGTTGCAGAAATCGCAGTATGGTCAGTGTTATAAGTTCTTTGGTCTGGGCTAGCTTTTCGGTCTTGAGATATATGTACACATGTGTATCGCCGCTAACAACATATACATACCCAAAATACATTTTCTAAAATTTTCGGCTTCCTAATGGTAGAACCAAAACCGAAATATTACTTATCGCCACCCACAGTATTTTTTTGTTGCTGATGAACTTTCCCCAATTTGTCGGTTCCGAATGCTAGAACTGAAATATTACTTTAAGAATATAATAGAACAGTAAAACCTCGTCCTCTAATTTTACATTGAAAACTTGGGAGTGGTTCTTAATAAAATGGCTTTTAAGCGTTTCTGTAAATGCGAAATATGAAGCTCTTTTTCACAGAAAATTTTTGAGTTTTCGAAAAACTTCATTGAAAGATGTTTGAAGCAGTTCCACTCACAAAACCAATAATATATCGTATACAAATCACTGGAAATGCGCATATTAACGGCGTGAGAGATATTTATACTAGTGGAACTAAACCAGCACTTTGTTTCTCGCCTTTAGTAATAGTTATGCAATACTTTTTTATACTAATTATGTAATTCAATTTTTTTAAATTAATTATAAAAATGAATGAATGTTTATTCGTTTGAAATTTTACGTATTCCATTTCCTTTAGATGAAGCTCTTGGGTCATTTTCAAACAAAAAATTAGCTCCAACGTTTTTGATTAAATTTTATTGTTTGATGGTATGAAGTGAATGGTACAGATTTCATTTTCCGAATTTTCCTGATTTTTCGAAAGTTGAAAAAAAACTAAAACTTTTCTGCATTTTAATTTCTATCCAGCAAAATTAATATTTGTATTGTATCCATCAAATTTCACCTTTGCTGAAAATCTAGTTAATATCAAAGGTAAAATTTTGCAGGAGTGAGGGAATTTCCATTGCTCACAGTACACCGAGGGATATGTAAGAACTCTTGTTAAGAAACTTGTCGCTCGATTTGAATGATGCGTGCTACTCGTACGGTGTTGCCGACTTGCCTCTAAAAAGAGCGCGAACGTCTGCCCTCGGGATAACGGCTTATTTTGCCGAGTTTTTATGTTTACAAATTTTCTACATTTAAAAATTAATTCCAGGAAGCACATTGTACTCAAAACACTATAAATATATAACAATTGTGTATTATATATTGTTACAGCACTCACCCTCCATGACATACGTGAACCAATGATCTCATCGACTGGATGAAATTTATTAAACATGGGACAGGGAGTCCGTTGCAGGGGGAGGGATCTTGTTGGTTGCATGTAAGTTATCATGCAATTGTGATGTCATGGATACTCACAGCGAACACAGGCAGAGGTCTTTCATATAACAAATATTTATTTCCAAAGAAAACACAACAAATATTTACAAAGAATTTACACTTTACACTCTAGCTCTGATAGACCTGCTATCCCCTGATTGCGGGAGCGATCCGAACCCGATTGATGATCGGTTTCAATTGTTGCACTCGTCACTCCTACATCTGAAGCGCGCACAAAGTCAAGCTTCCGTGACCAGATGTCACACTGGGACACAATGTCCGTACCGGCGTACCAACTGATGGTTTGCCTCTATCGCAGGAGAGATCGTACCCGATTGAGAATCGGCCGCGTGTCGTGGCACTCAACCACTCCTCACCTCGGAGCACGCACACAGTATAGCTCCCACGTGACCGCAGTCACTCAAGGACCCAAAGTCCTCCACAGGCTCATCAACACGTGACTTGACTCGCGAGTCCTGCTCGCCGCTGCACCGTCGTGGCGCCAAATTTTGTGCATTCGCACGAGGTTCTCCCACTGTCTCCCAAACCCACCCACTGGCTCTGTGCACTCCCTTATATACTCGAGGCTCACGTGACCTACTACATCACGCTGCCCCCGCTGGGCCCTATTGCTGGCCATGAGGGTTGGGTCTCCGTTCCTTAAGACCGGAGGACCCCAACGCCTGGTGCCTCCCTTTTCCCGTGCTTGCTTTAAGGAAGAACCCTTCTCTCCCCTGTGGCGAGGCGTTTTTCTGTTACTAATCCCTTACCACGCGTCCCCAAATATATGTCACGAGGCACGCTGGCTAATACGTTACACAATAAACGAGATTAAAACACTTCTTTAAAGATTACCAAGAAAAAACATTTATTAACGAAATCATTACAAATAATTACCCTATGGTGATAACCATTTTTCATTTTACAAATACATATAGGTTTAATCATAACCGTACATTACTCCATTGGAATGTTACACGAATACTCGTGGTTGAGTAGAGGCCTCCAAGGCAGCCCCCTCTCCAACCGACATCCCCTCTCCGGAACTTCAACTTCGTCCGGTGGCACTCGGTTCCATTCGGCTCCACCCCAAGTGCAGCCGTCGCCGTGGTTCCCCCGATGATGCAATACTTGCACTGCCGGTGGCCACGCCTGATTTTGAATTCCCCCACATATCGCAATACAATTATTCGTCTATACGAGTAGGGACCAATTGGAAATAATCACTATGTCGTCACTTGGTTCATCACTACTTCTGCTCTTCACTCAATAACACTGACTCTTATCGCCACGTGCTAGTTGCTACTAACCAGCACTGTCTTCTCTTTATGTACCATGCTATCACTAATTTACTAGTTTATTCCCTACATGAATTACAATTGTACCTCGTGCCATTACTTTTCACCTTCCGCATTCCTATTTCCTATCACTTTCGCTTTACTCAATATCTCGACATTACTTTTCACCAACTCGTTGTCTGACACGCTCATCTGCCATCTGCACATCACCAGTTCTACCCGTTACTGCCTGTTCTCCGCCGCCAACGAACTTCTCGCTGCTTCCCCCAGTGAGCGAGCGGACGATTTGTTCTTGGACGTTCTTGCCGTGGTTCGAGGCGCCGTTCGTTCTGCGCGCGGCTTTTGAAATGTTTAAACTATTTACCGAGAGTACTCGAGTCTCAATATTTTTCTTACAACTTTATATTGTCAATTACAGCAAATTAGTAATTGACAGTCATACAAATCTCTGAACAATAAATATTTAAATGTATTGTAACTATTTGTGTAAACATTTTCAAATATAAAATGTCAAAAATATGTCTAACTCAAAGAAATGAAATATTCCTTGAAAACTACTGATTTTTCAAACAATCATGGTACAATAAGCCACTAGTTTGCAAATATATAAAACCTTCCAAGAAAAATAGTTCAAGTGACCGTGTTTCGTATACAAGTATTCAAATATTGCCAAACCCAACTCATTACAAAGCGTACAACATTTGGTGCAAAAACTAAACATTTTCAAGCAAATATCAACACAAATTTGACAATTATAACTGATTTTCATGCAGGTGAATCATATTACAACAATAAGACGCAAATCACAAAAATGAGCTATCGAGGCATTGTTGCCGAGTCATTGTAGCAATCAAATCTGATATTCCATAAAGGCTAGCAGTATTTCAAATAGGTTTTAAATAATTGTTAAAATATTAATGAGTAAAAGTTGAATGTAAGAAAGAACAAAGTTAAATGAAATGTATGAATTCTAACATACTACGAATCTACGAAATGCCGGGAATGACAACACCAAAGGGCAGTAAATTTGGACCATTATTTTTGTCTCGAAATTAGCCCAAAAAACTCATATTTTCAAAAAATTAAACATGACCTTCTTTGAAATTCTACTTTTGAATAAAATATCTTCTTCTGTCATTACTTTGCACCAACACATCAGAAGCAACAACATCAGAACTTCTAAAAGTTCGAGGAGAAAAAATATTGAGCAGTTTTTGAGAAAATGGCGTTTGAGCGTTTCCAAAAATGCGACATATTGTGAACAAATCGCTGCTAATGTAAATATTAACGACGTGAGAGACTAGTCATAAAAATTCCGTAACTTTTTTAAAAATTGCTCCAATTTTTTTCTTTCAATTTCTGGTAAGAATATAGTAACATACACTTATAAACATGGCATAGGTCAGATTTTCACGGTTCACTCTGAATTTTCAAAATTTCAAAAACATGAATTTTTTTCGGTGTCTTCCTACAACTACAAAATTGAAGATAGAGATTTTTCCTTAAAATAAAATTTGCTATTCATAATTAGTTCTTTTGTTAAGGTAATTCACCTTTTTTGAAACCTGTTAGTAGTTTTTCGCAATATTGTGTGCAATATTTGCAGTTTTAAAGAATTCCCCAAACAAGATTTTCTCAAAAACGGCACCAAATTGTTTCTTTAAACTTTGAGTAGGGAAAGTGCGAAATGCTCTTAATAAGATGACATAAATACCATATTCCTGTATTCTTTTGTTTTTTCAGAAATATAGAAAAAAATAATGTTTTTGAATTCTCTCGCGCGTCGTTAATATTTACACTAGCGACAATTTGTTCTCATCATTGTATTTATGAGTATATGGGCTTTACATAATGGCACATAAAGTTTCTCGAAAACTAGCTCAAAATTTCGCAGTTTGAGAAACGCCGAACACCTTTTTTCTCAAAATCGGGTCCAAATTTTTTCTTCAAATATTTTGAACGGATAATGTCAATTTCACTTTTTAATATGTTGTTAAGTTCATTTCGTTGATTTTTTTTGTTTTTTCAAAAATTACACAAATGTAACTTTTTGAAAGATATCTCACGCCGTGTATATGAATATTTCCAGCAATTTGTAAACACTACTGCATATGTGAGTTAAAATGTTTCAATTAATTTTAATGAAGTGTTTAAAAAACTCATAAATTTGCTGTGAAAAAACTTAAAATTCCAAATTTACAGTAGAGCTTGAGCGCCATTTATTTAAAAAGGCTAATAAATGTTCATATGAAATTGCCATTTATTACGAAGTTTTACTGCTCTTTAATATTCGTAGAATAATGTCTGTTCTACTATTAGGAAACTGAAAAATTAAGAAAAATTCAAAAAAAAAGAATTATTTTGGGCTGCGTTAGATGGCAGGTCCGAGTAGCTAGCTAGCCAAGACCAAAGGAAATTGATAACTAATACGGAAAAGTCTGTAGCACTACTAGTTAACTTTTTGTCATTGTCAAGAAACGAACTGTCACTGACGAGCTGAAGCAATTCTCTGAGTGGCACGATCCCTCAATCCCTTTCATTCACCATCAACGCAACAAGAATTCACGAGACACTGTAATTGCTAAACCCCGAGTGTTATATGAATTCGCTTACTGGGAAGTTGAAAGAGTAGGGGAGGCCTGGAAATTTTATTAACTACGAACGATAACTGAAGTTGAGGCTTCCCTGTAGCTGGATCTTTAAGTGCTTATTTGTTGTGTGTAATGTGATAAACCAGATATCTCCGTTTATTGTGAACAGGGAAAATTGCATCATGTATTATATACGATGTAAATGTATGCATAAATAAGACGCATAGAACCAAGGAATACCCATTATTAGGACGGCCGATAAACAAGTTATTAGATTCCATGCTTGGTGACATTATTCGGTTGCGGGAAGGAGTAGGAGCACGGCCCCGAGGACAATACATGCAGAATGTGTGAAGGGGGCTGTGAATATTTTTTCAGTTGAGATTAGGGTAATTGTTCGATTATAGGGAAGCGGGAGACGTATAAGTAATTTTGCAATGTTAAGTATAGCATGAAATAATAATTCAAAGACATCAATTTAATTTAGGTTGTAATTTGTAATTTATATTAAAATGGATTCTGTATTCGAAGGGAATTTATATTAGGATAAATCCGTAAACGGGGATGATTTTTCACAAGTTGGATTGAAGATAGTCGCGTGTAGGTGTTCATCCGAAGCACAGATAGGGCAAGTCGCCCTCGTAAAATAATTTAGCTGCAATTATTGGTTTTTATGAAATTACAAAATGGTTCAGAATACTCCGGGAACCTTTACAAACCTACCTTGACATTAGGCAAGATTACGACAAAAGAGATATGAACGAGGATATTCTACGGACGGAATGAAGCCAGAGGATGGGAAGTCATCTGAGAAATCATCGTAGCGCGCGAAGATCTCAGTTACCCATGAACTTTAATCGGAACCGTACGGAACTATAATTATTGTACATAGAAAAATTAGATCACATCATTGATGAGCTCAGTATAAATGCTATCAGTTTCAAAATAAAGTTAAATTCGTATTGCTGAAAAAAAAAGTTTGTTAATTAGCAGTTAGTTGCTATCAATTTCATAAATGATTTTAATTTCAGAACTTCCAGGAATCGCAATTGTGTACATAAGTACACGTCCACATACGACAGATAAAGAGGTAACACGTTGTATGTTGAGACCCATGATCAGAAATAAAAGTAGGATCATGATTATAACGATTTAATATTGAGAAAATATTTACGAGCATAGCAGGAAAAATAAAATAAATTATAATATTGATAAAGTAATATCAGTAAGGTAACAAAATTAATGAAGTAAATAAATGGAAGTAAATAGATATTTCACAAATAGCTTGTACAAGTCGGGCAACTATGATAATTAAGTATAGGAGATGGTAATAAGAATGTTAAGTAATAGGAAAAGTTTCACAGTAAGGATCGTGACTTTACTTATAACCGAAAGCTCACTTCACCACGTTTCCTAGTCGCAAAATAAGGATTTTCTGGAATCCAGAGATGGGATTATTCCAATATAACAAGTTACATTTGATCTATCTGTGAGTGCATGTGCGCCACTCACCCGCGGTGCGCGAACTCCGCCCAGAGGCGCTTGAGACTCTTGGCGAGGCGCTCCTCGCCGGGCGTCGGCCGCCGGCCCACCGCCTGCACCAGCGCCGTCGGCCCCAGCAGGTACAGCAGCTCCGAGCCGTGCGGCGCCCCGCCTGACTCAGTCAGATGGCACGCATTGCATTCAGCACTTTCCTTGCCTTGGAGATTTCCTTGAGCACGCTCGAATAAGCAGCATTGGATCTCACCTGAGAGGTTGAGCGGCGGCTGCGGGCCAGCGGGCGCGAAGGGGTCGGGCGCCGAGGGCTGCGTGAAGGCGTAGGCGAACACGGGCTGCGGGCCCCCCGCCAGCAGGCGCAGCTGGCGTCGGTGCGGAGCCAACACGCGCGTGTCCGCGAACAGCTGCCGCACATTCACTCTTTGCACACTTGGCCGCTCACGAGTCACCTCAGGCTGGACAATGCATTATCAATAAAACGCAAATATTTCAAAGCAAGTGCTTGAAACTATTAAGAGATCTGCAGTTCGTTACCAGTGACATCTACATGACGATCTAACCAACCTTCATCTTGCTAACCTGAGATCAGTATGCACATCTATTTATATTGCTAATATTATTTAATCATTTATTTATAGCGATCTGCATTCTTCCACAAATAGAAAACATAGAACTTGTTAACGATGCCAAAACTAGGCCAAATCTATTGATGTCAAAAATATTTAATTAATTACACTAGGGACCAAAATGTTTTTTCAAACCTCTGGGCTGAAATTAGATGATTTTAAAGAAAACGATCACGCTGATTTTGAAAATAATTATAACACGTTTCTATCACGCAAGGTTCGAAAGATATAAATATAAATATATTTAGTTTTTGCAATAAACACTGGTGAACAGCACTTCATTTTTCCTGACCACAAACAAAACAGCCAAATTATAAAGAATATGCAAGTTTTCTAATTTCATATATTTTTTTCCTTTGAAGGTCTGGTGTAAATCCTACACATACGTAACAGAAGTTATCGCGTTCATTCGCACACTTTCGATGTGAAATGACGATTTGTATTTTATGAAACCGATTCAATTCAACAGATCATTTCACTTTATAAAACCCATAGAACTGTAATGTATAGGAGGCCACGCAAACGATACCCGAATTTCATGCGCACTGTGAATACAGGTCCGCATGAGACCGACTTTCATAATCTGCCACTCTAACAGTTGAATACTTGTGTACCTGCAATAACGTAAGGGACTAAAATAATTCCTCTCGGTGACTGACGCGCAGTAGGAAATGTGAGGGTGCACGTGCTTCGTTTTCAATACATCCATCAAGGCCACTAAGACCTACTCGTAATTGAGCGCGACTCCCAGTTGCGAAAAGAAACACGATACACGTCCAATACAAAAAGTAAAGAAATACACGATAGCCTAATTTTGTTGATATTTCATTAAAGTCCCATGGATTAACTGAACAAATGTTTTATTTTTACGTTCCATTTCTCTGTTTTGACTCTACATCTCTTACAGTTGCAATTTAAAGCTGCATTATTAGCAAAATAAGGTATGATACGGTATAATTAAAAACTGTGAAGCGATATGACATTTTTATTGTGGTATCCATAATCTACATGTAAAATTGAGTATGTTGCGCGCTCTACCTTCCTGAAGGAAAAAATCGTGTTTCCTAGTGGTATTAGATAAATAGAAAGTTTATTATTAAATTCCTACCTATATCTGCAATTTGAATTACGTCTCTTATTTCGTCGATATGTTCGTTAATTACTTACGTTTAAGTTACGTTAGCTTCATTTCAGCTTCCGATTCGTTTTATTTATAGTTAACACAATTATATTATAGTCGTATTTATTGCGTCTGTCAACTACATTTAATTGATTTCATTTGCCACTCGGCCGGAACTAGTATTCCGATACGCTGATAGCCCCTTCAGTCTAATACATGTTCCTTTGGGGTTGTTTCCTGACATATAAGGCAAACACCATGCTACATAGGTGAAACTCCGTGTTTCTTAACATTATAGAGCGCATCAATGTCGGAGCGTGCACGTCTGTTATGCCTGTACTATTTCATTTAATTTGAGTGTGCGAGATAAATTTTCAAAAGTCCTCCATATCATTAGCGAGTTGCGTGCGGGGAGGGGCGGCGCTGCTCCGAGTCGGCGCGGAGTTGGAGCGCAGTTGGAGCGCCGTTGCGAGGCCGGCACCTGCCTCATTTGCCGCGCGGCGCATCTTCTGCGTCGTTCCCGCCCCGCCCCGCCTCGCGGCGCTTCTTTCCCCTTGTACTGCGGCGAGGCGGCCATATACACAGCTACGACACTCTTTAGATTTACGTCAAGTCGTAAATTTCCCTCGGTCATAGATGCAAGCGCTTCATATCGTGCGCTTTTTGGTATTCTCCAGAATCTTGGTTGCTATGAAGCTGTTTCTAATCACGTGATAATCCTATCTTATTATGACCATCTGTGGTACCCACCATAATGATCGTGGTACACTATTCATTCCCATTGCCGTCCTTAACTCCTATTCCTGATGATCCCATTTGCAAAGGTTTTCATTGATCTGTGGATTTTATAAATGAATGTACACCAACTCTAGTATTTGCATAGTTAACCCAGCTTTCGTATCTCCCTAATCTCTAATGATATCTCTCTTCTCTAGCTATAATGGCATTACTTCATTAATTTTCTCTGGTGATTCTCTATGTAGTTTGATAAGTTGCGTCACATGATATTACTTACCTCGTATACAATGTATACACTAGTATACCACTTTAACTAGTAATATACCTAGTGTAGGGAAAGTTATGTAATGCTGCGGAAAATCGATTTCGAGATTTCAACGGAAATACACGTTTTTGGGTCCCCTAATACCGAAAGTGTGTTCTGATTCCGTCCGTCCGTCTGTCCGGTGTATGTGAACAACACTAGCGCCTAAACTATGCGAAAGATTTTTTTCCAAATTGAAGAAACCCTGTCCATTTCGTCTGAGTCGATACTCTGCGATTTTGAAAATCATTCATTAGTTTTTGGGTGTACTTTACATGAAGCCCCTGGAAATATTTCAAAATTTTGTCAAAAAGTCTCCAAATTTTTTCTTTAAATTTCTTATAATAATAGAGTAGAATGCACTTATAAATGTGTCAGAAGTAAAATTTTCACCATTAACTCTAATTTTCGAAAATTTCTAAAGTTTGAATTATTTTCGGTGTATTCCTACAACTACAAAATTAAAGATAGAGATCTATTTTTAAATACAATTTGTTGTCCACAATTTGTTCTTTCATTAACGTCAGGTACATTTTTTGAAACTTTTAGTGGTTTTCGCGTAAAATTGCGTACAATTTGTGCAATTTTAAAAAAAATTACAAAAGCAAGATATTCTTAAAAACCGCTCCAAATTTTTCTTTAAACTTTTAGCAGAGTAGTAATAATTGCACTCCATAAGATGACATAAACACCATAGTGCTCTATTCTTTTGTTTTTTCAAAAATTACAAAAATGTAATTTTTTGACTTGTCCCTTACGTCGTTAATATTTGCATTAGTAGCAGTTAGCTCAAATTATTATATTTATGAGAAAATGTGCTTTAAATAAAGTCATATAAAGCTTCTCGAAAAAATTTTCTGTCAAAACTAACTCATAATTTCGAAATTTCAGAAACAATCAAACGCCAATTTCTCAAAAACGACTCCGTTTTTTTAAAACTCTTCGAACAGATAGTGGTAATTCCACTCGTTAATATGATGTAAAGTTCATTTCGTTTTTTTTAAATTACTCAAATGTATTTTTTTAATATATCTTACGCCGTTAATATGCACATTTCCTGCAATTTGTGAAAACTATTGTATTTGTGAGTTAATGTGCTTCAAATTACTTGTAATGCAGTTTTTCGTCAAAACTCAAAACTTTTCTGTGAAAAAGTGCTTCAAATTTCGAATTTACAGTAGCGCTTAAGCGCCATTTCCTTAAAAACGGCTCCAAATTTTTCAAAGAAAATTGCCATTTAGGACGCGGTTTTACTGGTCTGTAATCTTTTTAAAATAATATTTCTGTTCTATTATTAGTAAAATGTCAAAAAATGTGTTTAGGGAGGCGATAGATGGCAGGCAAGCGTATGTGGCAAGTTCGAATAGCTAGTTGAGACCAAAGGAAATAGAAAACTACTACGGGTTAGTCTGTGCTATCCTGTAGTTCTATCTTTTGTTGCATCATTAACTCGTCGATCACTTTGATGACATTCTTTCGTCATCTTCCCCATATTATGTTACATACGTCTTTAACAGTTTTTTACACAGAGAGAGAGCCACGACGTGATAACTTTTCATGCCTCTATTTGTCCATTTGTCCTTTCTCTTGATAATGGTGACACTAAATGTTCAAATGATTGGGGTAATGAAACCATAATGTGCAAATGTTACTGTACAAAACTTTGAATTCATAAGCAACATTCAAAAGCGAATGAAGATGAGATTGAGAAAATTGAAACAAAAACTTGGTCCTACAAAACGAAGTGAAATGAAAACTATGGGGAAACGAGTCAATTCACTGATGAAACAATCGACAGATTGCCGAAACGTTATGGTAATGTCTTAAGGCGAAATACTGCTTCTGCTGCAGACGAATTAAGCGGTATAGGTTCTATTCTTCCACTTGGCATAAGAAAATACAACCATAGCGATCGCGCATTGTTGTCGAATCCATGCGCGCAGCAATTGTTGAAACTCCCTGGTTACATGTTCTGGTAACTTTAAGTGCTAATTCATTGTTGTATTGTTAATTTGAGATAAAAGAGCGCTACAAAGCGCCAAAGGCTAGTTATATGAGCATATTTTTGGTTATGAAACTTTTGAAGCCATTTGGTGTAAGTTACATATTTTCATATACAAGGAACATTTTTTCCAAAACTATGGATGGTAGGTATAGTAAAATTTCCCGCCTTATTGCCATTGATTCAGTCTTAATTTTAACACGGGCTTTTAAAAAAAACACTCTATTTTAACAGAGTAATTTTTTTTTTAATTTGAAAGAAAGATAGTGTAATAAATATTTAAAGTCTATTCTAAATAGTAAAATTTTCCTATGTTAAAGTGATAAGAAAGACTCAACGCTGCCTCCAAGCTCTACCTTTAATAGTTTCTAAAAAAGGTACATCAAAAATCTTTATTTTAACACGGGCAGTATATATCCGGTTCCCTTTAAAGGACATTTGGTCGTAAATATATTAATGTTAACAAATTGCCATTAATGTAAATACTAACGACGTGAGAGACAAGTCAAAAAATTTCATTTGTGTAATTTTTTTAAAACAAACGAATAGAGCAATATGGTGTTTATGTTTTCTTATAGAGTGAATTTATAACTAACTCTACCAAAAGTTCAAAG